TGTTCTACAAGGTCATCCCTGCTGGGGATTAGTTTGTTCAATGTAGTTCAACTGCTTAGGAGTAATAAAAGCTTCAGCCAGTTTGACTGCCTATCACACATCTGTCTTTATTTATGGCCTGGCACCTAACATTGCTTTAGAGGCTAAATGGATCCACAAAATCACTTGGGTATCTAAATCCCACAAAACTGCCACTTCAGACACTGAAGTCCAAATTTTAAATCTTCAAAATCCCTGCTGTACTGCTGCCTCACTCTGAAGTACCTGAATCCCTTAGCCAGCTAAGCTTCCAACATTAACGTTCACCTCTTACCTAACTTTCTGCTTCTAGGAATTTCTAGAATGGCCTTAGTCATTTGATAACCATTGACAGTGTTGCGATCACTAGCCTCGAACTGAACCCTGTTAGGTTTTACTAGGCATGCATTTCCCCACCTGCTGGTCTCATAGACTGTGACTAATAGATTGGGATCTGGCCAAAATGTAGATGGATGAGGAGGCAATGGTGCCTCCCAACCACACCCTTTCTTTTTAGCCAGTAACTCAGTAGGTAGAAATCTCATCCAGGATACTCAGTGCCTGGTTCAGTTCTCTCCTTTGCTTGATTGGATCTGAACCGACAAGACTCATGTCCCAGAAAATCAGATAACCACTAGGCTCTAGGGTCAAATTTTCATATGCTAGTTTCTGGCCAAATTAGTATTAATTACATCATGAAAAGCAGAACAACTTCAAGAGAACGGAGTGCCTCCCCCCAGTTGGTGAGAAACGTGATTTCAAATTCCCTCAACAGAGGTAGGATGTAAATCCAAATCTCCCATATTCTGGGTAAGTGCTCTACTCACTGAGCTAATGGAGGAAAGGGTATAGGAACCTCCTCCTCTGGCTGCCTTTCAAAAGAAAGGCCTTAGGCACCCAAATCCAATGAAGGGCTCAGGGCTACAAATCTACAATACAGTGACTGTTTCTGAGTGATGGAGGGAAGGAGTCTAAGACTTAACGTTCCCCCAACATTCCTGGTGGCCATCTTATGCACCCCCTTGCATGGCATGCTGTTTTGGACATTCTTAAGCAAGAATTGTACACAGAGCCAAGGCAGCTATCTCAGGCAAGTGGATTGCCCTAGGAGAGGGTCTCAATGTGCAGGGGTGTACTGTCTGTGGTACACCAAACTGTTTTGTGGCACCACAAACCACACACAGAGAATGTGAAAACATGTACCACACTGCAAATTTGCAGCATGGTGGCAAAATCTGGCAAAAAAAAATACTCTTAGGAAAAAATTGGCACAGATCACGCATCAGTAGCGCACACTGGAACAGATGGAGGGCTGGCCATCCAGAGCAACACTCTGGCTGCTGTCCAGGCTCTGTGCTACTGGATCCATGCCCTACTGCACCAGGATACCAGGTAATACTTCTGGGGCCAGCAGAGGTGCTGGCTCCAGCATTCCCTACCGTTACCTGGGACAATTTGCTGTGCACTGAAGCACATGTGCAGGGGTGTGCAATGGGGCAGAAAGGGGCACAAGTTTGTGCTGCTGCTATTTGTGCCTCTACAAGTGCACACCGCTGCACATGAAGACATGGCCTACGTGGCTAAGAATCCCAAGTTAGATGCTCTGATGCTCCATTTTGTGATATCAAAGTATTTTTTCCATGCAAGTTATTAAAGTTCACATGCATATAAAATAGTCTGTTTTCAGTGGGTGCATCTACACAAGACATTTACTGCAGAGCTGCCTAATTAGCTCCACAATAAAATGTCATTGCTATTAGGATAGAACAGACTAATTCACAAGTACTATCCTGCAGTGAAGTTCTTTACTCTGCAGCAATGCATGTGTAGACACTGACCTAGATGCTGGCTGGGGCTCAAGGGTGCTTCAGTACAGGGGCTGCCTGCCAGCTAGCCCCATGCTACAGCATCATCATGTCCCAGCCACCCCCTCAGCAGCACACTGAGCTGGATTAGAGTGGCCCAGGGCTGGCAGGCTGACCCCCCAGCTCCCTGCCAGCTGGGGCTACTCTGCCCAAGCTCATCATGCTGTGGTCACAGGCACGTGTTCAAATGGGCACCCAGGAACAATAAACTCCAGCACTGGTTGAGCTGGAGTTTATTGCTTCACATTAATTGCACGTATAGACACGCCCAGTATGTCTTTTAAAAAGTAGCTTTTCCTACAGTACTGATTCTGCTGTGTTCGACTGATGGTAAAAATAACTCCATTCCCACCAGTGAAGTTTTCTGTATAAAATAGTCTCTGACAAATGGACACAATGGCCACATCCACATAAGCATGAATGGTTGCTTCCCCGGAGACAAGAAGCAGTGACATACCTTGTGCCGCTGCTACTTGTCCCCCAAGGAATGCCTGTCCCACGCACCCTCTGGAGTGCGGCAGGTTACCCCAGGTGGGATAAGGGAGGTGGGTGCCAGCACTGGGTTGGCCTCAGCAGCCTTACCTGGGGTCCTTGGGATCTCCTGGGGCAGCAGCAGCGGCAGTCCTACCACTGGGAGTCTGGCTGGCAACCAGAGGGTGGCTCTGGCTGGCCAGGCTCCCATTTGGGGTGGTGTGTGCTGCGCCTGTGTGTGCCACTCCACTTTTTTTTGACCCCAGGATCTCCCAGGGTCAAAAAAAACCCTATGTTACTATCTTGCAGCTGGAGAACAGCTGAATGTGTAGATGTGATGCCACAGACATGTCTGCGGCACCACGCACTGCACGGCCCCGCTCGTCTGGACACAGCCAGTGTTGGTATCTAATGCAGCAAACCCAGCAAATAATCAAGCTGTATTTTCATTCAATATATTTTCACTACTTGAATAGTAACAAGTTCTAAAAAATAGCTTCAAAAATGTAATCTTGATACCAGATTCTTGGAAAGAGATTTATTCTGGTGATGCACAAATCTCCCACAAATCATCTATGTGGGAGTAGATGTGTTAATAATGTAGAGCCATTGAGAAACCTATAGGGATTCAGAGCACCATGTGGGTAGTCTAAATAAGCTTTCACTATGTGTAAATCCAACATTGGCATAGGAAAACTCTCCATTTTGCCCGAAGATAGCCTGATCCCAAGGTCACAGCTGGAAATTGTGTGTGTGGTCTTACTCAGTAGAATCCAGTGCTAAGGTTTAATCTAATCTGCACATTGGAAAAAAATGATAATCAAATTAAAAAAATGTACATGCCTAGGAAAGAAGAACTTAGTTCAGCATAAATATTTTTTCTTAAATTAGAGTGTTATGTTTTCCTGTGGGGCCTGCCTCTTCACACAAACTGCTTGCAGTTGAATGAGGGACAGGGATAATGCATTTAGTATAGGTCTGAGAGTCATACAGTTGTCCAGAACTATGTAAGAGGTTAATGTTTGCTAATCCAACATACTCTATTTCTTTCAAAGCTTCTTTTAAGCTTTGAAGTGTAGATTCTATTGGAATTCATCTTTTATTGTAGACATAGGAAAGGGGAGGGAATAGATTTACTCTTCTGACTCCAATCTACCAATGCAGGAATCATTTTTTCCCCAAAATAAAATTTTCTTAGTAATTAGCAAATGGTCAGAAAGGAATGCAGCAAAAAGGTTTTGCAGAAGTCTAAAGAAAGCAGTCAGAAGTAAAAACTAGGTTTTCCCACTGGAAATTATTCTCATTTCTCACTTAAATCTCTTAATTTTAAAGGAATGCTCTGCTTGTTGCTAAGCACAAATAAGCCTCAGAGTAGAAATTCTCTATGTCCTGGCTATGATTGCAAGAGAAAGTGGGGGTTTTCAGGTTTGACTATTTTAATGTCTTTACCTTCCAAGTGCCTTTGCAGTAAAACCTATCAGAAATTCAACTGCTGGTCAGTGCTTGGTTTATTATTCCAAAAAGGGAAGAAGTCACAGAACATGAGGGAAGGGGGCATTGTTTAACATAGAGCTGGTGCCATTCTCCAGTACATTGACAACTGAGGCTATTTGGAATAAAAGAGCTGTAGAAGAGGGGAGTGAACACCAAAAATGCTGCTTAGGTATGACAGGGAATACTTTCTAGAATCAGATCATAGAAAACCAGCAATGTTCCCATCTAAAGGCTTTTATTTAACATGAACTATAGAACTGCATAAGTGAAGGAGGAAGTTTGAAACTCATGTGTTTTCTGCCGGGAGGGAAAAAAAGGGTTTGGGACTTTGGGAACACTGAGATATTGCATGTGAATCAGGTACATGCTAGGCAGTAGGAGAATACTTTCTGTTCATTTCAAAGGAGCAACTGAGAGGCTATCATCAGATTGCAAATATGAAAAGGAAATAAAATGTTTGCTCTGCCTGCCCATGCTGTCTAAAGCTGGTGTTCCAGCCTGGTATAGCTTTACATAAGCCGGGGAAGAAAATACATTAACACATGACAATATTACTTTTTACTATACGACTAATTACATATAAAGTTTAACTCGAGAACACTAAATCAATACAATTTTCATCACTGCGTTGTGAAAACAACTAGATTTGCACAGCTGACCCATGTGTACACATGGAGCAGCCCCACTTCTCTTGTGGGGACAGAGTAAAACACAAAACAGTGGCAAGGGCACCTAATTCTCCTCTCACCTCCTCTGCCTTGAAAACCTTGTCTGTCTGTCTCCGTTGCTTCTCTACCCTGGTCAAATTTTTCAAGGCCTCTTTTTTATTTTCCAGTCAAATTCTCTTAAAACTTATAGACAGATCATTCTGAAAGAGTTCAGCCCCTCCTCTCCCCACATCAGACTCCGAGCCCTGACATAAGCCACATTTCTTTGCCATATCCTATACAGACCAACAGATCGATAATAGATTAACTATTGGGTGTCCCATGATATAACCCTTGGGTTTAAGACTCTCTTAAATGAAACCGAACCCTGTTGTTACACATGAATAAAATACTCCGGAATGCTCCCTCGTTATTTAGGTTCACTCCGATTTATTTAACTGAACACACACACACTAAAAACAAATCATTAAAAAAAGAAACATCTTTTATTTTCTTTTTTAAAAAAACCCAGTTTTACAGCACAGGGGGGTGGAGGAACTTCTTTAGGGCTTTCTTGGGACTTCAGGATTTTGTGTTTCTATTTTTACAAGAATGGGCTGATTTGTCTTAGGCTATTACTGTCTATTACTGCTGGAAGTCTCGGGGAAAGGTGGGAAGCGGCGAATTCTGGCAATCTGCCTAAAGAGAAATCAATGAAACAAATTAATCCTTCGCAGGCTGCAATGACACAGTAATCCATCATTCAGAGCTGCTTTTATACACCAAATCAGAGAGCAGAGGAAAGAGCCCTGGGGGACATCACAGACAACAACTTACACCAACACTGGGAAAATACTAAGGAATCAGTTTATTTAAAGAGGATAGATTTCAGTTGATTGCCTATTTCGTTTTATAAAGATTTTTCTTCCGTGGTGTCGGAAAGCCAGGGGCGAGTGGCTCTGCTTTCTGACCACTGGGCTCCCCGGATTCCTGCGGCAGGATCGAAGTGTGCAGTGATTAGGACCTTGAACGGCGCTGGGCAGGTGGCTGTTCAATTCCTGGGCTGTCCCCTGCCTGCCTCCTCCTCTCCCTGAAGCCAGTGGATCTAAAATGATCTAAAATGACAAGCTTCCCCTGTCGGCAGCGGCTGAGGGACCTGCTCCCCCAGCCCTGGCCGTTTCAGCACGAGTGTGCCCAGGCTAAGTCTGATCCACTTCCCCAGCGCAGCGCTGGCTGCAGGGCGAGGAGCCCTCTCTCCTCTGCTGCCAGCTCTGTCCGCTTCAAACGATGGGGAAGATCGCTCCGAAGGGGCAGCTGGGTCCTCTGTGCCTTGGCATTTTACATCGGTCGCTTCCCGAGCAAAAGGGACTGACCCTCGCTGGCGGGGAGCGGGGCTAGGTCTGCAGCTAGGCAAAGCTGCGCCAGGGCCCCATGCTGGCAGGTGCTGAGAGCAATCTGCTTCCACGCGGTGGGTCCCCTCGCATTTTAATAGAGCCTAAAGCCCTAAGTCTCCGAAACCCATTCATGCATTGCTCCGAAATGGGACGGGACGGGGCTTTGCCTTCACTCGCTCCCAAATACCACATCCCCCTGCAGGGATCGCGGGGAATCTGTCCCACCTGCTGCTGTCCAGGGTCAGGCATTGTGAGCAGGCATCGTCCGGACCGACTTGGCTGGGAAGTCGGCGTGGGGAAGGCTCTGCACTAGGGAAGCCGGTCAGCTTAGAGCAGCCTGAGCTGAAAGGAAAGAGAGAGACGGGCTCTGAGTAAGTGCTGGGGAGTCCTGGGGGCTGCAGAGAACCTGCTTCCAAGCTAGAGCCTGGGCATGCAGCCACCAGCCACCCTGGATGGTCCTGATGCTCTCACAGTGCGCGGGGGGAGCGGTCCTAATGATCAATCTTCAGCTCTAGGCCCTCGCTAAAATGCTGATCAAGGATCTGGCTCTGGATCTGGATGCGTCCCTTATTACATTGCCCGTAAATCTGTTGCTCTCCAGTACCTGCTGTGAGCCCCAGTGCTTTACTGGGGAAGAGGCGTCCCCTTCGGATCGCAGGAGCAATCCTCCTCGCCGCGGTGGCTAACTTCCCTGATCTGCTGGACAGGCTCTTTGGGGAGATGTGATCTCTTGTATTGGCCCAACTGAGTAGCCGGAACCAAGTTCTTTGCAAGCTTTCGGGCACAAGCACCCTTCTGCGGGCATAGGGAGACTCTACTTTTGCCCGAAAGTTTGCAAAGAACTTTTTTTCCAACTACTTAGCTGGTCTAATGAAAGATAGCACATCTCCCCAAAGAACCTTGCCTGCCTGTGTCCCTAGACCAACAGAGCTACAACCAATCCCCCTGATCTGCTGGGAGCTCCCAGGCGACGCGTGTCAATGAGTACCCCAGCAAAGCCAGGGAGTCCTCCCTGTCAAAGCCTGCTGAGGGCCAGAAGGACCTACCCGGAGTAGGGAAGCGGGACAGTCGGGGCTCTCACTGCTGTCAAGACCCCAGCAGTAGCCCACCTAGCCTGGCACAGCTCCTGGCTCACACCTGACTAGTGTTCACAGCAGGTGACTGGCAGGAGCCCCAAATGCTTGTCCTCACTTGTGGAGTGTGGCCCACCTGAACCTCTCCCTCATGGTTGGTTCCTCCATTGCCAACAGGGGGATAATAGGACCCAACAAGAGTTTGGGTGAGGCTTACCTAACTCCATAATACAGCAGTATGACCCAGATCTGGGTCCTCCAGATCCAGACCCAGAGGATGACTGGTCTCCATGAACCTAGAAGTCCCCCCTCTGCTCCTGAGTGTCAACCCTGTGCCTTGCACCCTCATGATAACTATGAGTCTCCTACTTCCCCCTTCATCAGCCTTGTTCCTCAGTGGGCTGCTTCCATTGCACAGACCCCAGCAGGGTTTTCTCCCTGGACTTCCAGCTCTTCAGTCCTAGTGCGTTGCGAGGGGTGCCTTCGGGAGTGGTTTTGCGCGCTAGAAATCTACCCCACACGGATCAAACCCCGGTGAAGGACCGCCGTGGCATTACCGAGTCTGGGGAAGGCTGCCTCTGCTTGGGATGCATGTTTTATCCCATCTTCCCCTTCCTTGGGAAATGGAGAATATAAGGACCCGGTGCTGTTGCTGGGGTCAGTAGAAGTATGCTAATTGGTGAGCCTAATTGCTTCAAGCAGTCATGCCTCTAAACATGGAGAGCGCAGTTGATGGAGTCGGTCTGTTCCTAATAAAATGAAGAAGCACTGAATTAAATTCCCAAGAAAGGGACTATAAAAGTTTCCACAGTGTAACTAAATGACTTCACCTATACTATTACCCCTCGGATGACATCTTGAAAGAAAGCAGACTCAATTCAGCCTCCATATTCATAAATTGGCTGTGCTTAGGCCAGTAAATCTGGATTGATTTAAAAAGGCTTTTTCATCCTTCCAATCAAATGAAGTCATTGTTAATTAGATGTTTTCTGTTAACAATGTCACTCTTCCCTGCATTACCTGCTCACACATTCAGTGGACTTATTACAACATCTGGATCAGCAGTTTTTCGTTATCAGGCTGGGGGGCGGGAATAGTTTGGCTAAAGAGAGGTTTTTCTTTTGTCAGTCCCTGTTTCAAGGAAAATAGTATCCACTCTACTACTGGCGATATAAATACCATCTCTCTCTCTCTCTCTCTCTCTCCACACATCACCTCCCCCCCCCCCCCCCCCCCCCCCCCCCCCCCCCCCCGTCGGTGTCTGTATGTATTAGATGATAAATGTCTCTGAATGAGCTCTGGAAAGAGGGTCTCCTACGAACCTACTCTCGTGAAATTTAAAGCAATTTCAGAAAATTGTTAGCTGAATTTCCCAAAGAAAATTATTTCGAGTCAACAGAGCCTAATTTAGAAAATTCTGTATTGTGTGAATAATAGAAACAGCAAAGTGGCAGCAAAAATACTTGCTGGGCTTCATCACCCAACAGTGCCAATGCTTAGATGTCCAAATAAGACACCTGATGGTAAATACCTAGAACCGGGGAGAGGTGGCACGTTAGAAATTAACCCGATGCTTCACTTTTGAACGTGAACTGCTTTAAAAAGAACCGCACCAGAAAACCCCTGACCCACGAATTTTCCTAGGAAGTGCCAACAAGACAAGGGCTGCAGTTGATAAATACTGGAAAGAATTACAGAGGAGATCCCATTTAGTTGAACGGTTTTATAAGCCATGTATAGTGTCGTGGTCTGCTTGTCTGCTGGAGGAAATCATGTTGATATTACTCCTTTATGTTTCTCAATTAATAGCCAAACATGACTGGTTATTACCTACCGCTCTCAGATCTCAGCACTTCTCAGTGCACATCCTAGCACAAAACACGCCAGTGAGAAAGAAACAGGATACGAGTTACATCCTTCGAGATACGAGCTGATATGAGGCTGTCCTAATAAGGGCTATGAAATGTGTGCAACGCTTAACTAACACCGCAGTGAATCACTGTGCAACATCGAGGCAATACGGAATTTAGCCATCTCTCTCAGCCTGGCTAGAGCAGGAAGGAGCATCCAGTTTAATTAGATACAGCACGTGTTTTGCCAAGTGCTTTGCACCTAAACTGGTGACCTCTTCAGATTTTCCTCTTTGTGCTACATAAGCCCATCTTCATCCCATTTAGGATGATTCAGTCATGTGCTTCGTGTCTTTCTCTCAGAATTGGCTCCAAATAAACGGATCACAAATGTAAAACTATCCCCCCAAGACATATGAGTAAGAATTGTCAAGGAGACTTTGGTCCACTCTCCATGTCTATTATGCTATTCACTCATAATGATCCCCTGTGTTGTGTCATACGTCATCATGACACTGATCCATGACACAGTTTAATGCTATTCAGTGATGCTACAGCCTAGCAGGCTGCCTTCACCCATCACCTTTGTAAGTCATTGGAAATGAACATCCTGGCTTTCTTTCAAAAGGGCTGTTAAATAGCTTAAATTAAAAACAATCATCACAGGCGTTTCACATCCAGACACAAGCTCTGCCTGCTTCATGTTTTATGTATTTCTTCGGTTCTCCTCATTTTTGCATATGCTCCCACATCTAAATAGCTGTCCTTATCCTACATCTACCTCCAGGTTGAAAACATGCTTTATTGCTTTCATAAGGGTTGCATTCCCCTCAATTCTTTTCCCAAGCTGTTTTACAAGTTACACCGCAATTGAGGGTTATATGCTGCAAAGCTCTCCCGAAAACAAAATAAGAAAGAGCTCTCCCTTTTAGCTACAGCGGTGCTTTTGACTCCTGAGATCCATAAAGGTATGTCTAAAGCCCGGGTATAAGCTATGGACGTGGGTGTAGCGCATAGGAGAAAGGGTGGGGAGGTAGTATAATTCCTTGATGCCCGAGGGGAGAGCGGGGCGGGGGGGAGGAGGGTTGGAAAGCTACTGATCTGCTGTGTGTGGTATAATAGCATTGCATACACACAGGTGTAAATAAGACCCGAAGGCTTCAGCCTTCAACTCCATCCCAGGGATCCCATATACAGGCAGTGCAGCCACACAGTGTAGGAGCCCTGTCAGTCGCCCACGCACACTATAGAGACCTCATTTGTATAAATGCAGCTGGAGGGGTGGGGGGGGCGAGGGGAGATAGGCTTCTGGGACTGGAAATGTTCACTTCCATTTTGCCTTGTGAAAGCCCGGGGCTGGGGGGAGTTGTCTTAGCTCAGGCCCAGCGGAAACCGACGACAGGAGACTGTTTTGTGTCCTCCACGAAGCGCCCCAGAGGCTGGCCCTGGCAGGGAGGTGGGCACAGGGTGGCACATGCAGGGCGGGTAGCCGGGGAAGGGCCACACTGGGGAGGGGGCTTGCCAGCCCCGATGCTGGGAGGCGGGGCTGGGCTCCCTCCTGGGCTGGAGAGGGGAGCTGGGGTGGGGGGGCTTCAGCATCCCTCAGGAGTAGCTCAGCACTCTTTGCAGCATCGGGCCCTAACCCAGTGAGTGGCTCCAGCTACTGCTGCTTGCGGTCAAGCGAAGGTTAACTAAGACTTTCTCTGCAGCTGCTTCTCTAGTGAAGGGCTCGGGGAGGGCTGCAGACAATAGCAGCAGCTGAAACACCTGCGATCTATCACTGCAATAAAAGATGTACAGTAATGTGGAGTAATTGCTCTTTCCGCTTCCAGAGGGAGCTCAAAGCTGAAAAATCAAGGTTAGGATCCCTCCAAACTGTCGACAATTTCCACAGGACACATGCAAAAGGCACAGAGACAGACAGACAGAGTCCCTCAGCTGTCTCAGGAGGAACTCTGAGATTCATTTGCCAAAGAGAGAGGGCTTCTTTCAACAGAGATTAATATATTTATCCCAATAACAACATAACATAGGAACCTGCTGTTTTGGCTGGGTCTAGCTGCAAAAGAAACCAGATGAAAAAAAATAAAGGGAGGGGGGGTGAAAGGTGAGAGAAGAATGAACCTACTTAATGCATGATTAATAGGATAATAATTATATTTATTACGGACCAGAGGATGGTTCAGCCAACATATAAGCTCCGGATGTAGGTAGCAATGCGTTTGTGCATATGCACACATAGCTCATGGGGAGTGTGTGCGCATATAAACAAACGTGCGTGTGGTGTGTGCGGAGATACACATAGAAGCTAAATGCATATACACGCCTATGAATAGAGTCCATATGCATGCATGTAAGTGTACATAGGAATGTATATCTATTTACAACTCTATATTCCCAACGTATATTTATGGGATGGAAGTATCACCAGTGTGTAAATATGCGGGAGTCTATAGCACATGTTTTATTTAATATACATAATCCCATTCGGTAGTTCACAGTTCAGGAGCGGTTAATGCTAAAAATGTAATGCAGCCTCTGAAATGGCAAACTAATTAGAGTTACAGAAGGTGTCTCAGATACAAGCCCAGTTGGGGATTTGGCCATTTGGAGTCATCTCGCTTTCTTTGTGCTCCCGGGAGTTTCCAGGAGCTGCTAGAAGCGAACTCACCTCTGCTCTGAGCCCTAAGGCGAGTCCAGTGGGTCTCTACTATTGCAGCCCTTGTCCCTCCACTGACTGTTCACCTGAGCCAGCAAAATCCTTCCTTGGCTTCTTCACCAGCCAAGTGGCATTCACCAAGCTTGCAAGAGCCTGGAAACGCCCAGCTAATCCCACAGCCAAGCGCTCTAGATCCAAATCTATCCCCGCACCAAGACAAAACGTGAGCTGCCTCTTATCCTGTGCATAAATCACCAAGAACAAGTTACCAGTTTGTTTCCTTCCGAGAATCCCTGCTTATTGCTCTTTTACCAACCAAATGACACGCCAGTATTCAGAAAAAAGTACATTAAAGAATCATCGCAGTCTCCCTGTCAAGTCATTACGCCTTTATTCCCACCAATTAACCACACCTCACAGGGCTGTAGTGAGTTGAAAAGTAAGGTGTCCCGTTTCGTACAGACGTCGGGTTTTGAGTCAGAACAGCGCAGCAGACAGCCGCAAATATGCCTCGCAAAGTCCAAAAAAGCTTTCCGCAATCGCGTTAAGAAAAACTGACGATGCTGATAACCTGAGGCTGGGGGGATGAAGGAGATGTAGCCTCTGTACATCAGCTGCACACACATATGCAAGACACCCTTTGAAGTGGGGGGGGTGTAAAAAAAAAACCCCGGGTGGTATATGGGGGTGACGGGGTGTTAATCGGCTGGACACTGCATGATCGCTTCAAGATCGCTTTTAGAAAATCGCACGCGCTGTTTCAGCGTCCAGACGACTCGAGAAAACTTTGCGCCGAAGACAAAAACTTGCTTGTCTCGCTTGGCGCAAAGCTTTGCCCCGAGAGAGATCCGAAGGGTGTCTGCTGGGGAAGCACACCTGGTTGTCTCCGAGCCGTAAATAGCTGGAGGACCCGCTGGGGCTTGGTCCCCAGGAGGCAGGAGCTGACCCCTCTCGAGCCCTGCGAGGAGTTATGGGGGGGTGTAATTGCATATGGGCAAGCTGGCGTGGCTGTGCGTTTGCAGAGGAAGTGTCCCTTTTTATCCCAGTTCCCTATGGGCGATTCTGATACTCACTGATATAAATCATCCTGTTAAAGCCGGACTTTCTACCCTGCTCGCAAACTCCCTCTCACTGAGATGCCCCCTTTTTTCTGCACTCTCGTCTTGATCCAGCGCAGTTCACAAGCCACTTCTGTTGATCTGCTTACAAAGCAATTGTGATGTGACACCCACTGCAATGCATGGGCACAGAGAGCCCGGGAAGGTAGCTTATTAAAAGGTTACCTTCCCTACCTGTCCCTTTCCTTCCTTAGTTATAATAAAAGGCATCCCGGCTACCTTCAGTGACAGTGACTTCAGTCTAAATATTTGGTACACAAATTTAGCAAGCCTAAAGGAGATTAATTTTCCAGAGTAATCCAATTAAAAGATTTCTAAACTAATCTTTTTTTTTTTTTTGAAAAAAAATAGTGTAAAGCTAAAGAGGAAAATCGTTTTTATGACAGTGATTTATTGCACTGCTAAATTGTAAAGAACGAGTCTCCCAGCATCGGAGATGACCACTGCATCCAGGCTGGAGCTGCACACACGAACACACGTCATACTACACAGGGGGGTTTGAGGAAGACGATCTCCCATCACTGAAGGCTGCCCTTAACAAAACATGGAAGGGAGTTTGGTTGCTTACAAGCACCATAGACTTTTTAAAGTGCTAATAGATTTATGGGCTCTTTTCCGACGCCCATCCAGAGTAATTAGCACATATGTTCTAAATAGATGATAGTTTTGTGAGCAATAAAGCAATTACCCATCGCTAGAGCTGACAGTTCCTCCAACTAAACTCCAACCAGCAGCTAATTGGGAAAGTCATTTCAGCTCCATTGTCTGCAATTAGTCCTGCTAAACTACTACACCCAAACTAGCTGGTTTGAGGTTTATTTATTCATTTGTATTTGCATTTACAAACGTTTACCAAATATCGCTTAACTTTTCCAGCGTTTAGTTCATGTCTGCTGAGTCTCTCTGGGACTGCATTTTTTTCTCTTTTAAGTATGGTCTCATCTTTCAGTCCCTTTCTTTCTATCAGTACTGGGAGGTTCAATGATTCATAAACATTTGTCCACTATGCTGAGACGGTTTGTTAAAACAATATTTCCTCAGCCATTCAGGAAATGTAGCCAGGTTACCCAAATGGGCGGGCGGGGTGGGGCTGCAGCTTGCTAAAATAATTTTGATTTCCTTTCAGCTCTTAACTCTTGCATTTGGGGACACCTGGGTGCCTTTTGCCCTGTCCCACAGCTCGAAATCAAGGCAAAGAAGTTGCTCTGTTTATTGACACGAGAGCTGCCCCAGCACCAAAAAAGCACCCAGGGGCGTAAAGTTCCCACTCACTTGACAACACAGTGGGGTTGCTTCTTGACTCGGAGGGAGGGTTTTTAGGGAAATTTGGAAGGGAAGAGGCTTTTCGAGGCAGCAGTCAGAAGTTTTTCCCTCCTGACGGTGGAAAAAAAATTAAGAGGCGTTACATGTTCAGGACTTGTGCACACTGAGTGGAAAAAATGTGTTAAACATCGGTTTGACGCCCCACCGGAGCTTCAAAATATATACCGGCTGGGTTTCTTCTACTTAATTTAATCTTTATTGGACTGGGTTACTCTTTCCTGCTATTCACCAGAACTCCCAGCAAAATGCATCATTGGAGGGGGGGAGGGCTTGCTCAGCCCTTCATTTTAACTGCAGACTTTAGCAGGTATTTAGCAGGGGGGCACTCCAGGGAATTTGAAGTAGGTTTCTCAAGTCAAGGCTCCTGCCCAGGGCTGAGTTGGTCCTGGCGTGTAAAAGATTTGTGCGTTGGGATGGGAACTTGTAGCCTTAGCAACAAAGTATTCACTTAAAGGAATTCACAGCTCTAGCATCCCGGTCACAGAAAGCACCGCGGAGATCTGAGCCGTGGGGAGCAGGGCAAGGGCGGGTTGTTGGGGGTAGATCGGAAGCTTCCCAGCTTCTGGAGCAAAGCTGTTTTATACCTAGGAACAGCAAACGCCAGGATTTTTCCCCTCCCTTCAGCATTGAAAAAAAATAAATAACCTTTAGAAAGAAAAAGCAAACTTCCCTCCCTTTTCAACCAGCCTGTCAGACTGACTATGGGGACACTGATCCCAGTCCCCCGGCGTGGACTACCCAGCTGCAGGCAAACAGCTCTCTATATTTATGGGAGAAAAACTTAACCCCACAAAGGGCTCCTGTTCCAGTCGAGGTGCCTGCTTCCGATGTGGTCAGTGCCCTGGCAAAATCCGCCCTGGATCTAAACAGCACAAAGCTGTGGTCTGGCAATGAGGTTGAAAAGACTTGGTGACTGTGGTTACATGCTATTTGCCATCCACCACCGAGCCTGAGTCACCAGGCTGGGAGCAGGAGCTCTGCTGCCGGGGTCAGGACGAGTTTAAAACTAGGAAGAGGCTGCATTGTATGAAATATTTCCTACGAGAAGTCTGCACCCTTGTTAGGATGATTTCCCAGCTCCCAACTCCCTGCGTCTAAACCTGCAGAAATAAAAAAGAGGCGCCTGCCAATTGGTAATGGTC